ACAATATATATATATATATATATATATATATATATTAGTGAACAATCCAACGTTGATAGCATGGCTCAGAGTTGCATGCAGTTGCTGCAATCTTCAGGTGCAAATACAATCTGACCATTAATTTGCAATCTCATATATTGTGTATATTCACTAATATATACTTATAGCTCTGTCTTATAACATAGAGTACTGTATTTATAACACCTGCGGAAGAAATATATTTCTACATACCATTTTATGTGTGTGTATATATATTTTTTTTATTCTACACATGCGCTTTTCCTCTCTCTCTCTCCCCCTATATATAAAACCATTTATTTTCTTTTCAACATCATCACTTGATAAGACACAGAGTGTGTTGAAACAAAATGGCTATTTTTGTAGTGATTTTATAACATACTTATGTTATAAATTTTTTTATAAAATAAAATATATATATATATATATATATATATATATATATATATATATATATATAAAAACAAAATGCCTGGCCCACATACACAATTCCGAAAAATCCTTGTTGAAAACATAACTATACTTAAATTTGAAAACAAACAAAAACTAAAAATTCTTGAAGCTATATATATAAAACAGTTGAAACCTAACCTGAACAAAATAAACTATGAAATCTCCACAAATATTCTTAAATGCCTATAATTGGTAATAGAAGCCATTGGTTTATACCAACAGATTCACATACTTAATACTTCATGTTTTCACACTCACGTGGTCATGTGTGACGTCATGAGCTGCGGTGCGATTTTTGCTTCCAGCATGTTGTATGCACGAGTTTGTCGTTGCTTGGAAATCTTCCATGTAAACATAAACAGACTATCATTATTGTTTTGTCTGTGTATTGTAATGCAATTGTCATCTTTGATAATGGCTTATGTAACCCGAAAGCTTAGATAAGATTAAAAAATATGTATCAATATTGTGATTTTCTTTTTGTTTAATGATAATGTTATTAAGCTTATCAGACGTCATGAAAAGAATTTACATAAAATAAATAGACTTGTCTATATTATTTAATGAAACATGCATCAATATATATATATATATATATATATATATATATATATATATATATGATTCAGTCTTTCTTATCAAATCGTGAAATGAATGTTGCCCTGAATGGCCACTCTTCTTGATCTTTTTGTACTAATGCAGATGTCCTCCAGGGCTTTATCCTTGGACCTACTTTGTCCTTAACTTTCATCGACGACCTTCCTGATGACACCAGTTCTTGACTGTATCTATGATGGTGAAGCGATATACTCCCATCTTGATCACTTTGATAAGGTCAAATTGGCAGCTGACCTCAAAAAAGACCTTCTGTCAATTGCTGGGACAAAGAAAGGCTTGTTAATTTTAAAGCCTCCAAAACAAGACTTCTTTCTATTAGTCATCTGAGAGACGACCTCCTTTCTGCCCTTCCATCAGCATGGCTGATGCTAACCTCCAAGAAAGTGACTTGTTTGACTTTCTTGGGTTAACATTCTTGGCTGACTTGTACTTATATTGAATCCTTTGCTAGGTCAGCTGTTAAGAAAGTTGGTTTACTGAGTTGTATTATACAATTTTTCTTGTCAGAATCTATCTTACATATTTATAAGTCTACCAGAATATTGCTGCCATATATGGTCTAGTGCTCTTGGATATATTCAAAGAATCTTGAAAATCCCCCCCAAAAAGAAATCAGCAATATTATTGGTCCTGATCTCGTATCCTGTTTCAGGTTCAGTCACTTTCCCACAGCCGTAATGTTGCATACTTTTTCGGTAAATACTTTCATGGTAATTGTTTGGATGAAATCTTCACTACTATATTACCTAGACTTTATGAATTTAAGCGCAGTACTCGATTGGTAAGTTTCATCAATTTACAGTTGAATTAGCTAGATGTAGGTAGATAACTTCTAGGCTAACAGTTTCTTTGATCGCACTTCTTGCTTGTGGAACTCTTTCCTGGCTCTGTACTTTCCAGCCAACTTTGGCTGTCAAAAATTTAAATGCAATGTCAATCATTATCTACTGTCTTCCTGATTCCTCTTCTATTGTTCTTGCCGCTTAATAATGTTTCTCTTTTTCTTATTCTTTCACACCATCTTAGTAACTTTACTGCCTTGCATGGGTTAAAATGATTATATATATATATATATATATATATATATATATATATATATATATAAATATATATATATATATATATATTGGGCCAATGGAATAAATTATGATTCCATACATATAGCATTTTTATTATATACTCTGTCCAGACATTGAGTTCTCTGGATCCTTCCTCTTGGAAAAAATTTTTTCTGAAAATATACATGTATGGGAATTTTTTAGATATATTTTTCATATGTATGTATATTTTCCACTAATATTATCTATATATATATATATATATATATGGCCTGATTGCATATAGCTGAAACAGACTGTCACCTCTAAGTGTTGAGCACTATGTTCACTTTTATATTTACACACGCCTATCTCTGATATTGAGCACTTTATCCCATAAATATAGCACACCTTAAGACTATATTTCTTCATATATATATATATATATTATTTACATTATTCGTACTATTTTTCCTCATCTTGGTCGCCATATTTATTACAACGTTTCGGCCGTTGTACACTCCAGCCTTCTTCAAGTGGTTGGAATATCGAACTGAACCCTTTATTTCACTCACTGGGGTAGACTGTTCCTCAAGGACACATGGCACAGTGGATAAAGGCATTAGATCCAGTGACAGGACCCAAACAGTGTGAGTTCAGTACTTGGTTAAGGCAGTGGAGAATCTGGAGAGGGGAATTAACAGGAGATAACTGACAATTGACATCCATTAAACATGGCATGTGGAACTAGAACAGTCTACCCCAGTGAGCGAAATAAAGGGTTCAGTTCGACATTCCAACCACTTGAATAAGACCGGAGCGTACAACGGCTGAAACGTTGTAATGAATATGGCAACAAAGATGAGCACAATAGTCCGAATAATGTAAATAGTGTACATAATACCTCATCTCAGAAATATAGACAGATATATAAATATATATATATATATGTGTGTGTGTGTGTTTGTATACATGTGTAGGTAGGTATGTCCACACAAAAGCAATATCTAAGGCTTAACATGCATTCTTAAAAATCAGAAATTTTTTTGATGTTTTCATTTTAGTTTTAATTTCAAGCTAACATTAAATTTAATATTTCCAATATGCAAAATACTTTGCTGTATTTCAAACTGAATTTAAATAGATTAGATTGATTTTCTTTTTGTTATCAGTAAAAAATGGTAATATTTTTCATATTGACAATGTGACAATACATCATCATTCTCTTTATTAAAAAGTTTTTAAAAATATACTTTTCTGAAACTTTGATAAAGATTAGCTGATTTAAAGTTTAATTAATCTGATTTCAAACAAATATTACTTTTAGCATGAATTATCAAAGAAAACCATTTTTCTAACAGTGAGACATGGGTGTTTTTAGTGTTGACACATTTCTCAATAGAAAAAATTCTCAAGCATAAGTCTAAGAGGGGAACATAACTGTAAAAATTACTTGAATATAACATAAATGCCTTTTTTATATATAATTTTTTTGTTTTTAACTCACCAATAATTTTAGAAATTTAGAAAAATACTCTAAGCAATCTAATATTTTATTGAATTTTAGGTACTTTGACTTTATAGTCTAACTTACGAAGACCCATGTTGAGGAAATGTTAGAAAATTAAAATAAATTTTAACTTTACTAGTTACTGCTATTTTATTCTGATAATGTTGCATTTAGACATCCATATTTATAAAAAACTGACATGTTTATACACGCATAAAATAAATTCAAAATTCTTTTTAAAAATATTGAGGGTGGTTGAATTGATGTAAGGTTCTCCATTTATGATTGGTAATTTAATAATAACTTAACCCCTATAAATTAATACAGAATTTTAAAAGATTTAAAAGTTTATCAATTATTCTAATTAAAATTTAAAAAAAAAAAAATGAAAATTTTCGTAAAACTTTATTATTTAGTGAAGAAAATTTTGTTCTTCAGACTATAGTGTTCATAATATATTTTATCCATAAAAGCAATTAAAAGCTTTTCTAATTAAATGATATCTTAGTTTTATTGCGTTTCTTTTATTTTATGACAGATTTTCTGTAACTAGGGGTCCATTTTGACTCCCCAAAAGTTCATGATTTAAATTCTCCAAGGACATGTACTTATAACTAATAAAAACACTAAGCACTACAAAAAAGAATTTCGTGAAATTTCATAAAATTAAATAAGTCGGGATTAACAGATGTAAAAGAAGATTTACAAAAATTTTCTTAAAAAGCACCATTTAAAAAAAAAAAAAGAAAGTTAATTTATTTGTGAATAAGTCCTGATAGTTTCATTACAATCTAGCAGTTTTCTGATTTTTTTACAAGAATTTCAATATCAATGCATTTTGTACTGTGAAAAGCTGCCAAAAATATTCACACTTATTTATGGTTGCCTGCTAATAGAAGAAAAACAAAATTGTTAGCAAAAATCTCAAAGGCTCTAAAAAGGATGAAAAAAATATTTAATAATCCAAAAATCCTTTGGGCTTTCCTCTTAATAAAGATTTTGACAATAAAACATTTTTTTCATCATCTATGTTCCTTTTTTAGCAAATCTTTGAAGGATATATATATATATATATATTACACACACGCACGCACATATATATCTAACTCTACAGACACACGTGCACACACATTATCCTTTTATAAATACAAAACTTAGCTTTCAAAGAAGGTGTTTATGAAACATGGAAGCATAGGAATGCATGTGATGTATTTAGCATCCAACAAAATCCAAAGATAATCTAACAGTTACTCTTTAATCAAGACAAAGCTTTCTGGTTCAGCCGAGGCAAGAAAACATCATAAATGCTCTGATTAATTCTATCATAGTTGAGCTGAAGTCTCTCAACATCTGGTCCAATTAACAATGGTGCATGGTCATCGGTGGTTTTCATTATCCGTTTCAAACAATCCCTAGCTGCCATCTCCTCTGCAATCGTCACTGTCTCACCGGGGGCTGCAATTAAACGAAAAACAAAAATTCATGTCAGTAAGAAAAATACTGAAGATTAACCAATCTTCAATCTATCCAGCTAAAGTCCCATTCCACAGCTAAACTGATTTTGAAACCAGAACTAGAGGAAAGGCAAATTCATGCTTTTTTTTATTTATACTATAATTTGCTCAATACAAAGCCCAAGATTCAATCAAGGTAGAAGGTTACTGAATAAAGTTTTTGTAAGGGCTTAAAGGGAGGAGATAAGTAATGCAAGAAGACATTAATATTGTAGTGATCAATGACTAAGGTGATTAGTTTTTTTTATGGCTTATCAACCCTTTTTGCGCTATTTAAAGCCAAAACATATTTTTGAAATTGTATGAATAGTTTGAGAGTAAATATAAATTTTTTGGAGATAATGATTTTTTTTCCAGGTACAAATCCCACTGTTTAATTCATATCTTAGGGCGGGGGAGAGGGATATCTCTACCAACCACCCCATGCAGTCAGATGTGGCACAAGGCCAAATTTAACGTAGGATATTTGAGCCCATAAGCTCAGGCCCAAAATTCCCTGTATAAAACAGGGTCAGGTAGTTGTTTCCTGAGAACTGACTCTGCCCTTTGACACAGCCTTGTCTGGGGATACTCTTTGCCTGAAGACAGAGAGTTTGACCAGTACAGCTGGAGACGAATCTCTAATTCCCAAATCAAGGGAGGGGGGAAAGAGATGAATTCATACCTTTCCCAATGGGTATTTGCACATAAATCAATGTAATGAACTTGATTGGAATTTGAACTGTGGGTTACTTCATTTGTTTTTGCCAAAAATGCTTGTTAGATCAGCGCTGTCTACGTTACCCCACTTCAGCACTGTGTAGGTCTATTAAAAAGTCAAGTATTGATCTGTGTGTGTGTGTGTGTATATATATATATATATATATATATATATATATATACACACACACACACACACAGACATACAAAAAAAATATATATATATATATATCTCTAAATAAAAGTGTAAAATTTAATATTACCAGACATATTAAAAAATAAAAAAAACAAAAAAAAAAACAAAAAGGGGGAAGCAACCGGTTTCGCTCCCGCTCTTCAGGCTTCAACGGGAGATTCAAAATTAATGCAGAAAAAATGTACAATAGAGGAATTGTGGGGGGAGAAAAAAAAAAAACGTATATATATATATATATATATATATATATATACATATATATATATATATATATACACACACACAATATATATGCAGAAGGTATAAAGGTATATATGCAGCACCTGATAAAGGTGCTGGAGGAATTATTTTAGATCGAGCTGACTATATAACTAAAATGTCTTCTATTTTAGAAGATACTTCAAAATTTACTAGACTTGGTTCTGCTGACACCTGTGATGGAACCTCCTCAGGTGCCTAAATTTCAAAATCACTTTTAAAGTGGGTAAAAGTCAGGGTTACTCTCAAAGGAAATTGCCAAGAAATCCATCCTTCCGGTTCGATTAGTCCCCCGATTATATGGTCTCCGAAAATCCATAAGGATTGTGTACCTTTGCGACCGATTTTGTCTATGATCTGTTCAGCCCAACACAAGGTAGCACAATGGCTCTCCACACTTTGGATCCTGTGTTGCAGTGCCTGGATGGTTTTTTGTATCAGGATTCCTTTTCCTTTGTCGGCCGTGGTGCGAAATTTGTCTTCTTCTTGGTAAGTTCATGTGTTCTTTCGACGTTTGCTCCTTGTATACTTGTGTCCCTTTGATGGAAACCATCGATGTTTGCTGTGACATTCTCTATCGCAGTTCATTGACTCCACCCATTTTTTCTGAGTCAATATTTCGGGAAATGATGAGATTTGCCACGTCCTCCATCAAATTCAGTTTCAACAATACTATGTACCGACAGATCGACGGAGTCGCTATGGGCTCGCCTTTGGGTCCGGCACTTGCCAACATATTTGTTGGCTTTCAGGAAGAAAAGATACGAAAGAATCCACTTTGTCCTCAAATGTACTATCGGTATGTTGATGACACCTTTTGTTTATTTAACGATGAATTTGAGGCTGACCAGTTTCTTTCGTTTTTAAATGGTATCTATCCGGTACTGAGGTTCACTATCGAAAAAGAGTCCAATCATCAATTGGCCTTTTTTGGATGTATTAGTACATATATACATTAACAGGTTTTCTCACTTCTGTTTATAGAAAACCTACTTTATGAAGGGGTTATACACACGTTGGGACTTTTTTTGTCCCACTAAGCGCAAGATCAACATTATTAAAACCCTCCTCCACAGAGCATTAAAGATCTGCTCTGAGCCTTTCTTGAACGACGAAATTAACTTTATTAGGGATTCCCTATGTAATTTGGGTTATCCTCTGGATACTGTTAATTCAGTTATCCGCAGTAAAGTTGAAGAGTTCAGAAGTGCCGATCTCTACACTGTCAAAAAATACCCAGTTTACCTCAGATTACCCTGGATTGGTACCAAATGTGAAAAAATAGCTAAAGATATTTCATCCAAGGTTCATTGTTGTTTTTTCTCTGCTGAAGTTCGGATTATTTTTCAAACTCAGCCTATGTTTCGATCTGCGTGTAAAGACGTTCTTCCTCCCCACCAAATTAATTCAATTATTTACAAATACGTTTGTAGTTGCGGAGCCGACTACATAGGGAGAACAACTCAGCACTTAGACATGAGAATAAAACAGCACGTTCCTACGAAAATTAGAAACCACACCCTGCCGTGTTGGCCCGGTCTCACTCTGTATTTCATTTGAAGGTTCTGGTGGCACTTTTCATCGGGTCCTGCAAGCCTTCTTTGTGCAAACAACGTGAGTGCTTGTTGGGACTCACTGACATCTGTCTCTAGTTCCTTCTGCATATATATTGTGTGTGTGTATATATATATATATATATATATATATATATATATATATATACGTAATTTTTTTTCTTTTCTCCCCTCCAATCCCTCTATTGTACATTTTTTCTGCATTAATTTTGAATCTCCCGTTGAAGCCTGAAGAGCAGGAGCGAAACCGGTTGCTTCCCCCTTTTGTTTTTGTTTTTTTTTTATTTTTTAATATGTCTGGTAATATTAAATTTTACACTTTTATTTCGATCATTAAATTTTGTACCCACAAAAATATCTTTAAATATATATATATATATATATATATATATATACACACACACACACAATAGAAATGACTGAAAAATTTATTTCGGTTGAGCTCTCTGGGGAGGAAGTGTGGATTTGTAAACAGTGACTATTACGGCTAATAATGCAAGACTCTTCGGTAAATCGAATCAAGTTCTCTCAGTCACTGTGTTTATCTAAAAATAAATACGCTTAAATTCACCTTCATCCCTGTCATGTGCTTACTGGTACAATCCCCAACTGATGCCAATTATGTCGGGTTTTGATCCTAGCTAGAGGCAACTGGACGTCTAGCCACACTGATGAGCTGTGAGATAGCGAAACAGTCTATCTGTGGATGACTATATATATATATATATATATATATATATATTCATTTCTATCTCACTGGAGGACATTAAATTAACCTTCACAGCACATTAAACACTGATAATGGCTCCTCTCAGAATATTAGACAGTGAGGAAGGCTGGCAAGCACATTGGCTGAAATACAGCTGCTTTCTTAAATCAATGATTAAAAATGTTTTTGTGCAAAAGTTGTAGGTCTTAACAAGGTGCATACTTCTTAGAACTTCATGGCCTGGCACTACAGAATCACAAACAAAATATGTACCAAATACCAGAAAAGACATAACTTGATTACTACTAACAGCAGCAAAAACTAAAATGGATAACACATGGAACTCAAAGAGAAAATAAGATAATCAAGATGTTGATATTTCACACTACTTGAAACAAATGGTTAGGAAGGAAGTGGCCATTGGTACTGTAAAGATCAATAACATCTACTGGAATTGAGAAACTGTTGTGGCCTGTTATGGGCTAGAAATAAAGACATGGAAAGAAGAAGGTAGGTTGAAAAAGTGCTATTGAAATAACAGAACATAGATACAAAATAAGAGTGTTATTAGTCAGAAGATAGAAGTGTCTATCTGAACTGTCAGGTTACACTGCCTGCCTAGGAAGTCTCGCAGGTTAGTATTTATGGAGGAGGAAGATAGGTCACCATACCACGATAATTTCAATGACATAAAAGATATTTGTGTAAAAAGTTTTAGGAAAATAAACTCGGCAAATGTTATCAAGAATCATATACTTTTTAGATTAACTTTTTTTTGATTTATTGTTTGATTTAACTTGTCTATATGTTGTAGCCTGTTTGGGAGCTAGAAAGAAAGACACCGAAAGACGAAGATAGGTTGAAAAAGTGCTATTGAAATCACAGAACATATATACAAAATAAGAGTGTTATTAGTCAGCAGATAGAAGTGTCTATCCGAACTGTCAGGTTACACTACGTCCCGACTGCCTTCTTAGGAAGTCTCGAAGGTTAGTATTTATGAAGAAGGAAGAGTTCATTCTAATGTAAATAGGTCACCATAACAGAAACCTATTTTCCTGAGAATTAGTCTTAAGTGAAAGATTTGATAAATTTCAACTAAAAGTACTAGCTGTTCAGTCAATGATTGTTGAATGCTTTCTTATAAGGAAACAGCTAATATTATAATTGCTGTTAAAAAATATCTTCCTGATGACATCCTGGCTTCCTATGTCATTATTCCAAGACTCTTAGGAAAGTTAACTTTAGTTTTATATGACATGGTTGGCTTTACTTGTGATGTTTCATACCTGAATTTGGGACTTCTTCAGATCATCTACACACATAAGCAGTGGTGGTGTGTCCTGCCCAGGATGTCACAAGACCTGTAACCAGAACCTGAAGCTGTATGTCAGGATATAGCATTTCATTTGGTGGCCACAACAAAAATATCAAGGGTCCTGTTGATTTGATTTTGGGGTAGAAAACAGGTGTGTATTCGTGGTATTATGCCTGTATAGTCTTTT